ATTTCTCAATGTACCTCCTTTAACCGGGTCATTTTGGAATAAATGTCACAGAACAAAGGTTGAATCACTGGACCCTAAACAAAAATTAAAAAGTCTTATAGTTATATCTCTACAATTACAAAACTGTAATAATAATAATAATGATAATGATAAAATAAAATGAAATAAAATAATACCACAATAAAATAATATTTAAAAAAAAATCATTTATTTATGTATTTAATTATTTACTTTCTATTCTACAGAAATTAACCCAGGTCTGTGTTATGATCAGCTGAATTATATTTTTATATGTTGTCAAACTCTTATGTAAAATATATCATATGTAAATATTACTGTTGTTTATATAGTACAAACTCTGATTGGTCCTTAATGTAATTACCACTCAAACCAATACCCAGATGTGAAATCAAGTTCAGCAACTGAAAAATACAGTGTCAGCTGGTTTGATCACATGAGTGAGAGCTGTTCTTTTGTTACATCTATTAAGCAACTTGAAACCAGTGAGACACCAGTACACCCAGTACTGCATGTACACAGCATGCATGTTGCTTTTCCAGCAGTCCCCCTTCTGACTTGTGTCTGTCTTGCAGCAGGACTTGGCCTCTATCAGCACTAGATGTCAGTGTTCTTGCTGCTCTGCAGGGCTGCAGGCAACATAAACTATAGCCTCGGATATGCTCCAGAAAAATGCATCCTATTTTTTTTTTTTCACTCAAAAGTCCTCATGGATTTCATGCTATAGCCTCCTGCGTCATGGCCTGATTACTGAGGGCATCACTTTTATCTCATAATGAGCACCAAATTGCTGAGCTGTGCTTTCTTCTAAAGACGCTCTCATATCAACCAGTGCACCATCTCTCACCACTTGTTGCTACTTCAGTTGGATCTTTAAGTAAAAAGATGCACTTAACACATCCACAATTCAATCTATGCAAGGTTGGAGAATAAGGTTACAAAAAGAAAACAACAGTTCACTCAAGCATTTTGAACTTACACATACAAATGGCATATATGTATTATTCTTTATGAGTGGGGATTTTTTTTTTTAATTCAACAGCTTTTTCTTTTTTTATGAGATGCTTATGACTTTTTCATACTACACTTATTGTGACATTTTTATACATATTAACACTTTACAAAAACTATAGATGACAGTGACATATAATACTCGTATTAGGGGGGACTGGGGACGGTTGCAACACATTTTGCTTTTCTCTCAATTACTCAGAGATGTTTTGGACTAGACCAACCATTTATTTATATAGTAAACTTACATCTGTCCTCTAATTCCCCATACCATTTAAATATGATTACATAAGACAGATTTTTCACAATATTCATTCAAAAACAAAAAAGTCAACTGTTGCAACCGACCCCATCCCTGGGACGGTTGCAACACTACTCAGGGACAGTTGCAACATGTCACAGATCCATTCATTTTCACAAATCAACTTTTGTTTTTTGTCTCAATGAGCATATCAGTCTGAGAGTATTGTTTATGATAATGTTATTATCATTTATTATACAAAATGTTATAGTATTATTTATTCATTTATTTATTTATCTAATATCCAATATTGAGTTTTGTTTCTTTCTGCAACCTTGAATTCTCTGAAAAGTGCACTGATATTTCAAAATGACTAATAAACTTATTAAAACTTAAATTAACAACTTAAGCTACTATTAAACACAGACATCCCAAAATGACACAGCCAACAAACGTTAAAACTTTTCAAATATTCTTTTACTAAACATTCCAAATTAACATGGCAGAGCACAGCAAAGCAAGCCTTTTATTTTTAAAAACAAATCAAGACCAAAAAGCCAGTTAATTAACTTTTAAAAACTTTTTAAAAACTGATTCTTTAAAACATCGACATCCAAAAATGACACAGTTAAACATTTGAACAATTTCCTAAAACTTTTTTAAAACGGACATCCAAAAAAATGACAATTAATAAGCTAAACAACTTATTTTTAAATACAGATTTTTAAGACATCCCAAAACAGGTGGGCCCTCCACTTTGAGAACCACTGAGCTAGCAGGGGTGTGTGTAGCAAGCGAATGTTATGAGTCTAGCAAGTGTACGTTGTGTGTGGCTAGTACATGGTGTTTGTTTAGCTAGCACATGTTAGTCTGATGTGGCTAGGAGAGACTGGGGACAGTTGCAACACTAGCTTGGGGACCCGTCCCCAAGCTGTCAGCCATGACAGAACACCATGTGCTAGCTAAACACACTGATTTTAACAAATGCTAACCATGTGACTTAGAAGTCAACTAAACAACGATTCAAACTAACTACGTTGTGATTAATTCATGCAAACGGTCAGGACAGTATGACAAAAATACACCACATGAAAAAATGTACTTTCATACCTCAAAAACACGTTTTTTCCAATAAATCCAGAAAATGATGCTGAATGTATCTTCTGTCCTGCTGGTGGGAGGAAGGATCCAACTGAGCATGTGCAGTATCAGTGTCATCAATCTAGCATGTTTCTGATTGGAGGAATAAGACTTGTTGCAACCGTCCCTTGTTGCAACCATCCCCAGTCTCCCCTACATCTAGTTTTCCACTTTGAATACCTTTGAATGTAATAGAGAAACAGTTCAATGTTATTTTAATAGCCCTTTTTAGATAGGAATTGTGCAAATTTGCAGGAAAGCCCAATCAGTCTTTTTTCAGCATTGGCAGTATAAAAACAAAATTGGGGAGTGTGGCAAAATGCCGCCTACCTAATTTTGTTTATACAGAATGCGCCTTTTTCGGGGCAATGGGGGGCGAGAGCAAGTAACAAAACCTGTAGCTCAGTGTGTGACGTTAACAGTGACGTGGGAGGGAAGCCGCGGCTAGTCAGGCGGCGATAGTCAGGCGATGATTCTGCCGTGTTCTTCACCGTCCCCATCATCTGACGGTTAATGGCCTCTTCGTTTGCGAGGGCAAGGAGGGCGCGCAATGCCTTGTCTCCCCAGTTGCTCATCTTTACAGTGTGTGTCAGGTTTACCGTTTGCATTTCCCTTTTGCTATTAGCTGCTCGCTAATTCCTGCTATCAGCTGTTTCCTGTTTATCCACCTCCAGTGGGTCGCACGTGCTGCGTCATCAGCAGCCCCTCCCACAAGTCTTCAACAGCCCATCCCGTTGCAGAAGGTCGCCTCTGTCCGTTTAAACGAAAAGGGTTCCGCCAATATGGCTACCCTATGAGGCGGAAAATTGGGCACCTCGGATCAACTCGCCAATCCGGCTCTGTGTGTATAAACGCTTGCAGCTGGCTAGCAAAACGGCCCAACATTTGCAGAAAATCTGGCAGTGTAAAAGGGGCTAATTAGCCTACAGCCTAGCTCCATCGTCATTTTGTAACATTATATTTGTTAAATGTCGCTGTTGAATCCGGCTTCATAAGAGTAGAGGAAATCTCCAGTAGCCACTAGGCTAATTTATGCAATGTAAGATGTAGATGCCATAGCTTTTGCTAATAATGTTAGCATGTTGTATTTGTTTGTAAAATGTGTTTAGTATAAGGCAGTTGTTTTGTCAGTCAATCTTGTGAGCTGTAAGGAAGCAGAAGTTTGTAACGTTAGGTTTGTTAAATGTTTCTGTTGTCTCTGGCTTCATATGAGTAGAGGACATATCCACTAGTTGCTAGGCTAATATTACCATGTAAATGCCATAGGCTTGTGCTATTAATATTAACATGTTGTATTTGTGGGGAAAATGTGTCAAGTAAAAGTTTGTCTGTGAATGTTGTGAGTTATAGTGAAGCTTGTGTACTTGTGTTTGAAATTGTCTCTATTAAGCCATGTTTATGTCAATCAACCAACTTTTATAGCACTTCGCAGAAGCTGCACCACTGACTAGTGTTTTAGAGGTGTAACTGCAGAGTGAAACAGACACACCAAATGCTCGCAACGGCATAGGCCACGTGCCTAGGCTCCAGCATAGGCTGTAGAGCAGTCGCACAAGTTTAAATCCTTTATCGGTAGTTGCAGGCAGAGGGGTTAAATCATGGCCCAGGAGCTCATTTTTGCCCCATAACAGGTTTGTCCAGCCATACCAAAAAGGACATGCTGAAACATACACCGATCAGCCAAAACATTAAAACCACTGACAGGTGAAGTGAACAGCATTGATCATCTTGTTACAATGCAGTGTTTTGTTGGGAAACCTTGGGCTCTGACATTTATGTGGTTGCCACAGACACGCTCCACCCACAAGAAGAAGAAGATATACTTTTTTAATTCCCATGGAAATTCAATTTTTTCATGTCATAGACACACAGATCTGAAATACACACACGCACAAACAGGACCTATACATGCATTAAATGGAGAGATGTGAGCGAGGGGGCTGTCCATAAACAGGTGCCCTGAGTTGGGGGTTCAGTGCCTTGCTCAAGGGCACCTCAGCAGTGTGCAGGAGGCAAACTGGCACCTCTCCAGCTACCAGTCCACGCGCTATATTTGGTCCGGTCAGGGACTTGAACTGGCGACTCTCCGGTTCCCAACATAAGTCCCTATGGACTGAGGTGCTGCTGCAAAAATATCAAAAATAAAAAAGTTTAGTTTGTTTTTAGTATATAGAGTTTATTCGTGGTTTTTCTAGTTAATGTAGAATAAACATATAATTTCATTATAGATTGCTACCTACTATTTTACCAGAAACGAAAATAAAAGAAAAGAAAATCATGATGGAGATGGGTTTGAATTTTTGAGGGCATATAGCCTACAGTAAATGGTGACATTTTGTAATTTAATGAGACTTCTTTGAACACAAGTGTAGGTCCGAGGTGGCAACTGAATAATTTACCCCACCCAACGAGCCTCAGTGCAACAGCACTGCCTGCCCTGTCTATATTTACGCCCCTGCTGCTAAGCATGTTACATGAAACTTAAGCAGCATCAGCCCAGCTGTGAGCTCAGAGCAGGAGGTGTTTCCTGTTATTGTCTCGGTGCGGAGCAGCCAATCAGCGTGCGCGTCAACATCGCGGCCCGGAAGAAGGAAGCTCAAACCAAAAAGAGCGCCTTGATTAAAAGTGAAGACGTTACCTGAAGGTAAGCCAAGAAATACTTCAACACACGGTGTTTATAAGTCACGTAAAGACATTTAATCTTGATACAGCAGCTTGTCTGTTTCTCACACGAGGCAGCCTTGTCGTTACAAAAAACGTTATTTTGTTGTTAAGAATTTGACTTAGATTCCTCATATCGCTTCCCACAGATTCAAGCGATACTGTCCTGTCGACGTCACGTATCTCTTTTATATGTAATGTCGACGTTTCAGGAAAAGATACAACATTCTGCTATCTTTACATGTAACGTTACTGTTCAACAGTATTGCAGCTGTAAAATGCAGATGCTTGTCACATTAGCTGAGTTTGACTAATACAAGAAATACTTACAGAAAATGTCAGTAACCTAAAACTTTCCCTCAGTTACCTAGCCCTGTTTGTGTCTGTCTCCCCCACCGGCGTTTCACAGTATCTTATAACATTTCATTAAAAATGTTAAATACAACAGTGTACATATGACAACAGAATGCCTTCATTGTAAAACTTAATAGGCCCTAAAACGTCTCACCTGAGTCAAAGTGAAATGTAACTGCTACATGTAATAAAACTCTGAAGGGAAAAACGAATGAAGTTGTCCAAATCTTGCTAATAAGTTACTTATCTAGCTTATTAAGGAGTTTAACCATTGACTGTGACATTTAAATCTGTTTTTATGACTATTTGTGATTAAAATTCTGTCAGACATGTTTGAGAGCGTTAACAAGTGCCAAGTCTGTGACTGAATTTTGGTTGTGGCATTGTGGCTGGTTTATGACTTGTGCTTTTAAATCAAATATTACTTTGCAGGCAGGGAGGAATGGTGTACGCTTTAGTGGGATTTAGTAGTCATATAGTGGTGAGTATTACAGATTGCAACCAGCTGGAACTTCTCCTGGTTGGAATTCCTTTAGTGTTCATTGTGTAGGAGGTTTTTGCCAGGAGCCAGATTATCCACAGAGATCGCGAAAGTATGAGTGGCCATATCTAGAGCCAGTGTTTGGTTTGTCTCTTCTGGGCTACTGTAGAAACATGGTGGTGCAACATGTAAATCTCCATAGACTAAGACCCACTCCCTCTGTAGATATAAAGGGCTTATTAGAAGGTAAAAAAACACTTCTTATTTTCATGTGATTATACACTAAAGAAAACACACTTATTATATTATATTCCATTTCCAACAGTACATCCCCCTAATTTCTACACACTGGAGTTTTAATCAGTTTAGATAGATGTGAATAAAAATAGATTCAGAAGTTGCTAATTCATGCTTGGTTTCATAACAGTTGACAACCCAATCTCACCACAAGGTCCATTTATTAGCTGCTCTGTAGTTTTTGATCATAACAGTCTTCCTCAGCAGATGAAGTCTGCCCAGTTGTCATGAAATTGTATACTTTTAAATTTCTTTCTTTTTTTTTTTTTTTCATTTTTTTTTTTTTTTGAGCAAGTCTGGTTACTAAATATCTGGGATAATTTCTTAGTAAACATTTTGTGTACTGGAAGATGTATTCTTGTTGCATATCAGCTTAAATGAACACAGCATGTTGAAAACAAAATGGCATCATATGAGTATACTGTATGTGCCACAGTTACCTTTGTTCAATATTGGAGTAAGCATGGGATCTTAAGCAGGTTTTATGAATGAGTAGGCCTGTCTTATCTAACCCTGATATAATATTTAAACAGTAAGTTAGAGTTGAGGTGCACACAAAGGCAGTGGTGTTTTCAGCTCGGGACACTCGGTGCAGGCTCCATGTTACACTTCAGAGGTGTGTTGTTGGATGGTACTGTAGTTCAGCTCATCATGCAGCCACAGTGAAGCTTGCCATGTGAGAGTCTCCCAGTGGGAGAGGTGTACCCTGGTTAGCATTGATCAGGCCCTCTTGTTTACAGTGCAGGGTTCCTCAGGGACAGTACAGGGGTTAATTGCTGCTAAAGTGCTGCTCTCTGCCCACTCCCTGCTCGACTAATACAAAAGAGATGACACTAATGAGGGAATGCAGGGAGGACACTGCTTATCCGTGGCTGTAGGTCAGCTGGGGGAGGGACTGATCATTACCACAGCTGGTTAAGTGACAGACCAGTGTTTGAGAGAGAATGGCGTTATTTATTTTGCAAGTAGTAGATAGTGACCAGTAAGTAATGTATATGACTGCATCTGGTGGTTATTGTAAAAAAAAATGTACATACTTAAATGTGACCAGATCTTTAAATTGCTATCAAATTGTCCAGATGTGCTAAAGTATTCAGTCACTCACATTTGAGAGGTAATCACCCGACAGTAATTTGTAGATACATTTAATAAATATCTTAAATGATTCATGATTTATCAAATTTGATCAGTTTTCTGTTTATCTGTGAACAGCTTAAGTCTTTCACTTTTAATCAAGCCATCAGTTTTCCTTTACTGTGTTGTTCCACTTCAAAGTGACAGCTCACCTCATACTCAAAAGTACTTATTTTTTTCCCTCTTACCTGTAGTACTGTTTATCAGTCTAGTTTGTTTTGGTGCGAGTTGCCGAGTGTTGGAGATATCGTCCGTAGAGATGTCTGCCTTCTCTCTAATATAATGGAACTAGATGGCACTCAGCTTGTGGTGCTAAAAGTGCCAAAAAATACATTTGAAAATCTCAACAGCAATGTCTCTCTCCAGAAATCATCACCCAGTTATTTAAGATAATCCACAGACCTTGTTGTGAGCAGTTTCATGTAGGAATTATTTTCTTTCTACAGACCCACACCACCAACCGAATCACCATACAGAGCAAAACATGCATCTACTCCTACATGAGAGACTTGTGAAAGTGTGGGATGTAAAGTGGTGCTTGGTGAGCTAGCAGTATATGCATGCTTCCTTCTTCACTGTGATACAGTTAGCACAGCAATGTCAGTTTTGGTCAGTTTTGCTTTTGATAGCCCGACACCCATTACCTAGTAATTTACTGGCTAATTTTTAAGAAAAAATAAAACATAAAATGACTTAGAATATGAGAGACCTTTCCTTTTAGTTTACAATTCATCAATTGACTCAGTGAACTTTAGCATCACATTTCAAAGCGCTATCCATTTAGAGGTGGTGAAATTTTAATGTTTTGTGATGTAAATATCTTATTTTATGTTCAGTTGGCTTCACTGACAGACAGACAGCCCCCATGCATCAGCTGGGGGCTGTCTGTCTGTCAGTGAAGCCAACTGACAGACAGACAGCCCCCATGCATCAGCTGGGTGGAAATTAAATGCTGCTGCAGTGGTGGAAGCCCTGGTGTCATTTTGGCCCACAAAACCACAACAATGCTAAAGCAGGTGGGCACAATATTTCCACAGCAGCACTGCTGGGTCGGGGTGGCGTTACAGCAGTAATGGCGTTAGTAGTAGTAATAGTAGTGGCGTTATAGCTTCTAGCTAGCTTGCACCCAACCCAGCTGGTGCGTAGTGCAGAGCGGCCAAGGCTAATGTAAGCCAACCTAGAGGCTGACATAAGTAACAAGGTAAAAGTATTCTCAGTGATTAACTGATAAATGGTTAACCGATCAATGGTTAATGGTTTACATCCCTGGGTTGGCGGATGTAGTTTGGTAGACAAGTTCCTACATGATACTGCTCACAAAAAGATCTATGTATTATCTTGAGTAACTAGGTCATGATTGCTGGAAAGAAACATCGCTGTTGAGTTTTTCAAATGCTTATTATTATTGGGTTGTTGCTTTTTTGGCGCTTTGAGCACCACAAGCCAAGTGCCATCTAGTTCCATTATATTGAATAGACGGCAGACATCTCTATGGTTGATATCTCTAACTATCGGCAACTCACACCAAACCAATCTAGATTAATAAATAAGACTACAAGTAATACAAAAAATATGAATTTTTGATTTCGGGGTGAACTGTTCCTTTAATCAGGGCGGCTGTGGTTTAAAGGTAGAGCGGGTCGGTCACTTATCAGAAGATCGGTGGTCGATCCCCGGCTCCTCCAGTTTGCATGTCAAAGAATCCTTGAGCAAGATACTGAACCCCAAATTGCTCCCGATGGCTGTTCCACCGGTGTGTGAGTGTGTTTAAAAACTGAGTAGCAGGTGGCACCTTGTATCGTAGCCTCGGCCACCAGTGTATGAATGTGTGTGTGAATGGGTGAATGTGACTCGTAGTGTAAAAGGAGCTTTGAATGGTCAGATGACTAGAAAGGCACTATACAAGTGCAGGTCCATTTACCATTTACCATAATCATAGCCCCCCTGAGCTCACTGTTAACTTCAGCTTCCAGTGCATTAAGTTGAAACTGAAACTCTGTATCTCTAATATCAGACTTCTTACTGTTTACTGATAACTTTCTTGTTGCTGTTTTTGAGCTGTGTTAAGTCACGGCTGCTGCAAATTGCATATTTCCTACTGGTGCTTCAATTTAAAAGCTTTATGTTGGCATACCATTGGGAGGCTTTTATTGTGAATCAACGTGCTAGCCACTACAAAGATACCATAGGATAGTTTATATTTTATACAGTAACTTACTGCCTATCAAATGGCATTAAAGACAAAAACATGAGCTACTCATGAACATGATAGCTCAACAACTGTAAATATCACATGACTGGTTGTGTTGCACTGTTGGAAAGCTACTTGCCTTTGAGATTATACATTCATTCGTATTTGGTGTCATCATTTGTGGGATGTCTTTCTGTAAACCTGGCCTGGTCTTATAGCTTGTGTCTCTGCAGTGTCCTCCTCATCACTGTGACCATGAGTTTCTGCCCTGGTCCGTCCGGTCCACCCGGGTGCACCAGTATCCAGGAGCAGAGGGACCGCTGGGACAGAAAACGCAGCCGAACAGCCAGAGAGTTGGTGCAGACGGAACAACGCTACTGCCAACAGCTGGAGCTGGTCACCACTGTACGTACTGAAGCAGTCAGGAGCACTGGTTTAACCTGAGGGAGGTTACACTGTGTAAACTAAAGACCTCAGAAGTATCAGTGACAGATATCCAACATTTCACTCTGCAATGATGGGTCTGTTTTTATTTCTAATTTCTAAAAATTTGGTCCCATACAGACTTCCTCTGTTTGGAAGGTTTCTGGAAACTTATCTCATCTTTCTCTTGTCCCTCTGCCCTCTCCTGTACATTCTTCTCTCAGCACCTCTTTTTTCTCCTCATCTGTCCGTCCTTCCTGTCTTCTTCTGGCTCTGTGTTTGATTCATGTCTCCTCTCTGTCTGTCAGGGCAAACAGTCATGTTAATTTAGGATACATAATTTAATTTGTCTTCATATTATGCACATAGACAGAGGTAAGCTGAAAGTCAATCAGAGTTGAGGGTGCTGAGAGAAAGTCAGAGACATCTAATAGATATTAACAACATTTTACGTTGATTTTAGAATGTTTTACGGACAGCAAACCTGAACACCAAGGAACTCTTTGTCAAAGAAGCCACAGCAATTACACAGGACAGAACACTTAAGTCAAGACAACTACACAGGCAAGTTTACACTTAAGTGCAAGGAGATTATGAGGGAACGTGCACACAGGTAAAAGAGATGTGGTCTTAGAATGCACGGCAGCCAGGATGCAGCCATTTCATCAGGGGCCAGTTGCACCAACAGGGCTTACGCCTAGTCTTAAGATAAGTTGGTTGTAACTTGGCGTTCCAAGGCCGACCTCATAGTTACGCCAGTTGTACCATCTAGGCGTCTGCTAATGAGCTGCAGCGTAAGGTGTACAGTGTATGCTAGGGGTGGCATTTGATGGGTGTGGTGTGTTTTCAGCTTTACTCTTTAATGCTGCTATTGGTACATGAGTTGTAAGGTGCAGCCAAGCATATTTACCTTTTTTGTCCTTTCACATGGAGCATCACCTACCAGATACTGTCAGTCAAACAGACACGGGTCTTCTGTACAGCTCCATTAATCTTAGTATTTTTATGTCCGTGAAATTTCCTTTTCTTTTTCTCTGATGCTCCATAATAATGTTGCTGCAAATGATTAATAACACAGTAACAAGGCAGCAGGAGAATTTAACAATGTATCCTTGCAACACATGCACTGCTAGGTAATAGCTGTAGTTGCTGGGCATTCACACAAACATGCATCGCTAAGACCAGGCATAGGTAAGACTAGGCTTAACTTTGGTTGGTTCTTTCTAAAGACTTAACAAAGACCGACTTAGAAGTTAGGACCTGGCTTAGTTAAGACCTGTTGGTGCATCCAGCTCCAAGAGACAAGCCTATACGTGGATACTGATTCGCATTCAGCCAGTGTTGGACCCTAGGGGTGGGGGAAATTTCCGATTCTTAGATGTATCGCGATTCGGACGTGGACGAATCTGAATCGATTCACAAACGTCCAAATTTTGATTATTTAAATCTGTTAATTAGAGTAATACAGAAGGTTCTAAATAATGCGGAACTAAGAAGCGCGGTACATGTCATCTCCGGGACACTTTGGGATGCGCACCTGGAGCAGACACGCCGACGTACACAGAGGAAAACAAACATGGCTGACCGCTACCCACCTCGCCGTGAGAGCTGAACAGCTTCTTCTAATTTAAAAGCAGATGTGTGGAAATACTTCAGCTTCTACAACGTTGACGGCGGAAGCGAACTGGACAAGAGCCACGTTATATGTAAGCTGTGTCGTGCTAAAATAAAATACTTTGGCAACACAACAAACATAAGAAGCCATGTAACTCGATTCCACCTGAAGGAGGAGTCAGGGAGAAGGCAGGCTGTTGTTGCTGCGGCAACTAGTGGCGCTACCGACCAGAGAACAATCGAGGAAGCAATAAGAAAGCTGCCACCCTCAAAAGAAAAGGCGAAGCGAATTACAAAGGCCATAGCGGCATTTATTGCCAAGGATTTGCATCCTTATTCTGACGTGGAAAATCAGGGATTTAGAGCACTGCTGCATACACTGGAGCCCAGATACACCATCCCATCCCGACGCTATTTCACCGACACTCTACCATCAAACCAAAACAGAAGTCATGGCCTCACTGTTGAAGGCAGGTAGGAACGCAGTTACATGTGATGCGTGGACGTCTGTCGCCACCGAATCATTTGTTACTCTAACTGCGCATTTTATCTTGTGATTTCAGATACCAGTTGTTACCTCTGGTTCAGTACAAAGAAGTTGTAACTTTACAGTTTGCAAGCATTTCCATTTATATGTTTAATAAAATATAATGGAAATGAATTCAACTCTTTCTTATTACAAATGCACTGTTTTTAAAAATTGCAAATGTTGAATTCTTATTCAGTGAGACAGAAAGAAATGTGTGTTGTGAAAAAGTGCATCAATATACATAAATTAAAGATGCATCAATAATCGTTTTATAATCGAATCGTAGCCCCTGAATCGTAATAGAATCGTGGGGTGCCCAAAGATTCCCACCCCTATTGGACCCATTCTTATTAGACACTATTTGCAGGGACTTCAGTCTGCAGTTCATACACCTGAAAATTATTATTATTATTAAATTATTATTATTAAAATTATCATTACATCAGGTTATTGTTCCAGTTCTGTCCATATTTGCATGCTCCCTCTTTCTCTTTGACTCTTTCTGTATCTCTCTCTCAGTGTTACTGTACAGAGGCAGTTATTAATTAATCTGGCTTTATGAGTAGATTAACAAAGTCGTTGTAGAGCAACAACAACTGCACGTGTATTGAGAAGGGGATGACTGATTGAAAAAAAGGTACCGTCTACATGCAGTTAAGGTGCTCTTGTTATGGTTGGGTTGTCTCAGATCAAATCTCTGTAATACGAACCAACAACAGTAATGACCTGCCTCCCACACCCTTGGCTACGCATTCACTGAGAGGACACACTCGTACTGTTATCTCTGCATAATGCATCTGAGCACTAATGTGAACACTTGTGTTAAATGAAGACAGACGAGGCAGTGTTTTGACTGCTGCTGTTATAATATAATTTAGGGCTTTGGTCGCTACCACTGTGACATTGGTTAGGCAATGTAACCGTGGCGTAATCCCAGATTCAGGGAACCATAGCTGTTGATATTTCAGTGTGTTTTCACTTCATGAAAGTTAATTGTAACGTTATGGTTGCTTAAAAAAAGTTTTTTTCAGCACTTAGTTGTACTAATGGACCCTCTATGGCAGGGTTGACAAAGAACCGGCCTGTGGGCCAGAACCGGCTACCAAAGGGTCCAATCTGGCCCACTGGATGTCTTTGCACACCTAACATTGATGCACTGGTGAAGGCTAGGAGGTGTCAGGTTTCAGGAGCAGATTAAACAGTGAGTAGCCTACTTTATGTAAAATGCTGCTTGAGAGGCTGTTCCACTCTGACTAGAATATGGCTCTCTGACAAAACATTAAATACGTTATCATATATAACAACATTGAACATTAGCCCCTTTTCCACCAACATTTCCAGTAACATTTATTGCCAGGAATTTATTTATCTGGGTAAAAGAATTCTTGGTAATCTGTGTGGTTTGCATTTCCATCGCACCTCAAAGTTCCTGAAAATGTATCCAAATTAGCTTGATGACGTAGATGATTCGGTGTGTGCCCTGTATTTGGCTCCGCCAGCTTGGCTGGTTACATGCTGGTGTAGAGGGTTGGGGCTGTTTGTCTCAGCCAGCAGCTAAGTTTAAAAGTATTTTAAGGTAAGTGTCAAACTAAGTCAGTCTACATTAGAGCTTAGATCGGGCCCAAAAAATCCAGCCCGACCCGGCCCGAGCCCGTGCATGTTATGTCTGGGACCAGACCAGCCCGTCCAATTAACTGTAATTATGGGCCAGAGCCCGATTTAAACCCGACATTTTTCAATAAGTTGGCTGTTATAATTAAGAGTATTAAACCACAAGTCTTGTTATTTGAATGACAGAAACATAGGATCTTAATGAATGGCGCAACACGGAAGCATGATTATGTAATAAAACAGGTGTTTATTTTAGGATCCAGGTGCTGAAGGGCTGTGTGCGCACAATGTTGCAACATTGTAACTGAGG